AACATGGCCCAGCAACCAACCAAGTTGTGTGGGAACAGATCGTGACTGGCCTCAGCGATCTATGCTTTGCTTCGAGTTGAACAACGACACAAAGCTGCATCGCATGAGGATTTGCGGTATATACATATTTATACACCGTTAGCACCCTTCAAATCGATGGCAAATTCCAGGCTTCCCAAAGATTCAACATGGCGCATCAAGAGCGTCTGCCAAGTATATAGCTCCCCAAATACCTTGTTTCTTTTTGATGTCCCCAGCAATTCGCGTGGGAACACATCGTGACGGGCCTCAGCGATCTATGATTGGCTTCGAGTTGACCAACGACACAAAAAGCTGCACCAAATGAGGATTTGTGGTATATATGTATATATACATATATATATATATATATATATATATATACACATCGTTAGCACCCTTCAAACCGATGGTAAGCTCCAGGCTTCCCAAAGATAGAGCATGGCGCATCAAGAGCGTCTGCCGAGTATATAGTTGGTTCGTGAATCGTCCCAGATACTTTGTTTGTTTTTGATATGTGCCCAAACAATTTTCTTGGGAACGTATCGTGGCTGTTCTCGGCTATATATGCGTTGCTTTGAGTTGAACACCAACACAAAGCTTACACCATGTTCGCGCAACTACACGCAGAAAATTAGCCAAATAAGTAAGACACACCACCTCCCATTTCAATATTCCATCGATTTGAAGGGTCCTAACAATGTACCACAACACGTCATTAGCGAAGCAAACTATATGTAGATCCACATAAGGCTGAGGAGAGGCGCTCACCGGGCTGGAGGTGGAAAGATCCGTCTCGGACCAAGGAGATAGTATTCTAAGGAGAGGCGCTCGCCGGGCTGGAGGTTAAAAGATCCGTCTCGGGAAGATCCGTCTCGGGCCGGGGACTATTCAGGTACATATCAAACCATATTTGGGTCGACGGATTGCGAGACGCTCCTTTTTGAAAGCCATGTTCCATCAGAGGGAATCCTTCAAATGATCCTCGCTTTGAAGGGGCCCCAGTGTGCACGTGGGTGAGAATTCAGGGCTCAGCTTCAGACGAGGCGCGTGCGCCGACACGTGATGCATGGTGATGCCAAAAACACGAGGACTTCGCTGAAAGGCGGGCAAGCGCTGAAAAGCGCAGGGCCCCACCTGAAAACAAAAACTAGGACCCAAAGCGATGATAGGTTGCAGGACTTCCTAAGATAGAACATGGCTTAACCAAATGAGCGTTTGTCATTGCGTCGACCCAAACAATCTGATATGGTTTGATATGTCCCTGAATTATATATATATGATTTACTTCGAGTTGATCACCGACAGAAGCTTCCCACATGTTGGCAACAAATGACGCTGTGTGGTGCAGTGTTAGCTCGGGTTACATAGGGCCCGTCAAATCGATGATAGTTCCCAAAGATAGAATATGGCCCAGCCAAATAGTTTGATCGTATGTCGACCCAACTAATCTGATGTGGTCTGGTATGTCCCCTTGGCGTGGGGACGTATCGTGACGGGTCGCAGCAGTGTGTACGTTGTTTCAAGTCGATCGCCAAAATGGCGCGTCGCATGTTGGCAGCAAACGACGTTCTCGGATACGTCGTCAGCCTCCCACCCCCTCTGGCGGCAACTCGCAGGATCCGCGAATATAGAACATGGCTCACCAAGAGCTCCTGCTGAGTTTGATCATGTGCTGAATGGTCCCTGATTGTTGGTGACTAGTCCAACAAATATCTCCAAGAGATCTTGGAGTGCAAGGTGGTGAGGTTCAACAAGGGTGTGGGAGGTGATGTGCCTTATCTGGTGTGTTGTCTGCATTTACTTGTGCCTTATATATGTAAATATACATACATATATATATATATGTGTTCCGTAAGCGCCCTGTGTCCCGCCTGGGCGATGAGACCAGCTGGAATCCAGCCATCGGGACTTTGTGTGGCATGTTGACAGCAAGTGACGCTTTGGGGAAATTACATGGTTCAAATCGATGGCGCACACCAGGATAGAATATGAACCAGCAAGAGCATTTGTCGAGTGGTTTGATCATGCGACCCAAAGACTTGATATATGTCGTTTCGATATGCCCGCATGGTTGGCTTGGGGGGTCATAGCGTGACGAGGCTCGGCGTTGTGTACATATGTGCATGTATATGTATATATATCTATATATGAGTTGCTTCGGGCTGATCACGGACACAAGCTTCCAACATGTTGGCAGCAAATGCCATTGTTAGCGCCCTTCAAATCGACGGCAAATTTCAGGCTTATCAAAGATAGAACATGGCAAAGCCAGAGCGTGTTGCCAGTAGTTTGATCATGTGATCCGCCAAAGACTTTGCGTCATTTTGGTTTGCCCCCAAATAGTTGGCTTGTGGACGTATAGTGACGGGCCTCAGCCTTGTATATCTGAGTTGCTCCGGGTTGATCAGCGACAGTGACCAACATGTTGGCAATTTTGGCAGCAAATGACTCTTTGCGGTACATTGTTAGGACCCTTCAAATCGATGGTAAATCCCAGCCCCAAAGATAGAAAATGGCCCAGCAAGAGTGTTTGCCGATTATATAGTTTGATTATGCGTCGCCCCACGTACTTTGGTTCTTTTTGACATGTCCCCAACCAAGTTGTGTGGGAACATATCGTGACTGGCCTCAGCGATCTATGCTTTGCTTCGAGTTGAACAACGACACAAAGCTGCATCACATGAGGATTTGTGGTATATATTTACACCGTTAGCACCCTAGGCTTCCCAAAGGTAGAACATGGCACATCAAGAGCGTCTCACGCGTGCGTCGCCCCAAATATCCTGTTCCTTTTTGATATGTCTTCCCAAACAGTTTGCTTTCGGAACACATCGTGACGGGCGTCAGCGATCTATGATTTGCTTCGAGTTGATCAACGACACAAAGCTGCATCAAATGAGGGTTTGTGGAGTATCTGTATATACATATATATATACACACATATTTATACACCGTTAGCACCCTTCAAGTCGATGGCAAATTCCAGGCTTCCCAAAGATAGAACATGGCGCACCAAGAGCGTCTGCCAAGTATATAGTTCCCCAAATACCTTGTTTCTTTTTGATGTCCCCAAACAATTTGCGTGGGAACACATCGTGACGGGCCTCAGCGATCTATGATTTGCTTCGAGTTGACCAACGAGACAAAAAGCTGCATCAAATGAGGATTCGTGGTACATATGTATATATATATATATATATTTATATACATCGTTAGCACCCTTCAAACCGATGGTAAGCTCCAGGCTTCCCAAAGATAGAACATGGCACATCAAGAGCGTCTGCCGAGTATTTAGTTTGATCATGAATCGTCCCAAACACTTTGTTTGTTTCTGATATGTCCTCGAACAATTTTCTTGGAAAATTATCGTGGCTGTTCTCGGCTATATATGCGTTGCTTCGAGTTGAACACCGACACAAAGCTTACACCATGTTGGCAGCCAATGACTCTCTGTGGTACATCGTTAGCGCCCTTCAGATGCATGACAAATTCCAGGCTTCTGCAAGATAGAATATGCGACAGCAAGTGCGTCCGTCAAGTAGTTTGATCATGTATCGTCCCACATATTATGCAATGGGTTGATCTGCCCCCAAAGAGTTTGCTTGGGGGAATATCGACCACAAACACATTATGTATCCATGGTTGCCCATATTCTATTTTACGTTTTGAGTCGGACCGGTTGGTGCATGTTCTATCTTTGACACACCTGCATATTACCATTAACAAATCATTTTTAGAGACAAAATATAGCATTACATGTGTCAGATGTTATATCTTAGAGGATACCAGTAGATGTTCTATCTTCCGAAAACCGTATTTTGCGAAATCGTAGGTGTTCTATCTTTCGGAACCGGAGTATAGCTTGAAAGAAATGATATGCTTAATAGCATGCAATGTGCCAGTGCATGCAACGGTAACTCGCAGGAATAGATTCTAACATGTATCTACGTGCAATTCAACCTACGCATGGCAACATGCCATTAACCATTTTGCCACCGATTCCCACTCCATTGCTACGTAGAATGGGAAAGTGCCTATAAAGCAAATGGGCACGTAGACTGGACGATCCAAACACGCGTAAGTCAATGCGAGAACATGAAACCAGCAAACACACGCTGTGTGTATTAAATCTCAAGTCACGTTTTATCTTGAAATTCTTCTTTATGATTTGAATCGCTGCATGTTATAGAGTCGGATGTTGAAAGAAGGTCCAACTCATTTGCGTTCATCATCGTGTTCAAGCAGGTGAGTTTTTGACGTGATAGGCTTGCGTTTCAATGAAGTGCGATGAATTCACAGAACATGTGCGATTCATGAAAGTAATGCACCTGCAGCTGAAGCTCCAAGTAAGTAAAACGAAACAGAACCACTGAATCAAGGACTGTGGAAATAGGCTTGATGATTGTAAACAAGCACTTGTGAGTCTTCACCTGAGATCGCATCTCATGTAAATTCAGAACGTCCAATATCTCCTTTTTACCTTGGAGTTGCAAGCCTGAAGCGCCACAATATGCAAGCGGCAACAAGTCAGAACTGTTGAGAAAACAAACGAACACGAAACACAGTTTTGAGAACTCAAAAAGCTGAGAAAGAGCTAAGCTGTTACCTGAATGAAGCCCCAAGCATTGTTAATCCTTGATATGTTGCCCGAAAAAATGAAAGGTTGAACAGTTTGCACGTTTCTGGCCAGTTACCATATCCCACACATTAAGAACTTAGCAACATAACGGTGGCAAGGCCTCTGTTTGCAAGACATGAGACGGGGAATCCTTGAAGACAGGGTCGAATGGCCAAAGGAGAGCCTGCGATCAGTCCGAGAACTTTCACCGATGCCAACCATTCAACTTTGTTGTCGCTAAGGGATTGCTATTGCTGACCAAGTCAGATCTTGGTAATCTTGACCAGAGTCTTCTGGACTCCCGCACCTCTCAATCTTGCCTTTCAATGAACGCAGCATGGAACATGTGTTGTATCGCAAGGCCGGCGGAGCGTGCATGGCGTGCTGCTGGCAGCTTTGACAGCCTCCCATCCACAGCACAGCATCTAGGTATGCACGACACGGACGTGTTTGGGCCCAAATGTGCCCTGGTCAGAAAGTTTCTTTTACTTAAGGCTTGGCAGGGATTGCTGTTAGCAAAGGAGAGAGGCTTGTCAGGCAGCTCTTTTCATGGTTTTGGGCCTGATTGGTCCTCTTGTGAAGGATCCCAGAAGGAGCTTTCAACATGGCCAAAATACTTCCTGAGAGCCTGGGAAGACTTGCTGACTGTAGGATCTGCAAAATGGAACCTGCTTCACAGCTTTCCGTCTTTGTGATGGATCTCTTTGTTTTTGCGCCATCTGTGGCTTGCGCCCCCAGATCTTGTCGAGAACTGTTCATTAAGATCATCCCAAGAGACCTTGTACACAGATCCTTGTTAGTATGTTTGAGTTGCGGCCTTGTCACCAGCGCTGCAGTGTCAGCATGGAGCAAGTCATTCTATTGGTGTTGAGGCGCCTCGCGTCAGCGGCCGAAGCTAGTCGGCTGCTCCCGCACTGACCGGGGAGTGCATGCGGAGGCGCGTGAATGAGAGCGTTTGGCTTGGTTGATCAGAGTGAATGTTGTGGGTCTATAGCGACCTTCTTGAGCAGATCCTTCAAAACGAGCTCCGTATATTCAGCTAGCAGTTTTGCCAAGGCTGGCTTCCACTTTATGGATCTCATGAAAACTTGAAGAGGAACCATTGCTAGTTGCAGGCGCCCAAAGGCTTGAAGTTACGTGCGCCAGCAATATGTGGCAAAAGATGCAGCGATGGCCGTGCGGAAAGGGCGATGCATCTGGGGCAACGCGCGGTGGGAACTGCTCCGAGGCGCAGGTGGCCCACTGTGATTTGCTGCCCCTTGAGCCTAGCGCGTTGCTGCAGCGCGTGAATCGCCGCCTGCCGGGGGACGTGTCGCTCGGTCTGTTTGGGCGAGGTGAAGCCGGGGCCAGTGCGCCGAAATTTGGGGTCTGCTCCAGATGGTTGTTGAAAAACTCCCACCTAGTTGGTGTTTGCTAATGCCTTTTTGTCTTCTTTTTTGTTTTTCCCGCAACTAAAGACACACATTGCCCTTTGCACCTGTAAGTTTCCCCCCCCGTAAAAAAGACTATCGCAGCGGCTGCCGGCGCACATCGAAGTTGCGTTTGGAGTCCTTGAACCGCCAACCCCTGCTTGGGCAATTTCCACAGATTGAACCTTGTAAGGGGAACATATAGTTCGAGCGACATCCACAGTTTTACATACTTGGGATGTGGAGCCACGCATTGGTACTCCAGGGCTAGCCGATGCGTTTTGGCTAGGTTTGTTCATAAGCTGCATGAGATGGCTGCTAAGCCCAGAGCACATGGTGAACATTGTTTCTCAGATTGTGCAAGTCAGACCCGCCATTAACAGAATGGCGCCTTGTTTTGCAGCCAACTTTGAGTACATGTGTTGGTGATGGTGAAGCGTGAAACTCAAAGTGTCGCGTCGGGCCACTTGGCCAGGCGAGTGTTGGCACTGGAGCCAGATGCTTGGCGGCTTGATGGCTGGGCCAGGGCCGAAGGCTAGGCCGAAGGCTAGGCCGAAGGCTAGGCCGAAGGCTAGGTTCTTTTAGGTGGAACGTTTGCTGCTTGATTCTGTTTGGTCAACTTGGCTGAACACGAAACGAGCCTCTGTGAGGGGTGATTTCAGAACTGGGTGTTGCAAGTTGGGCAGATGGCCAGCCATGCTGGCGAGAAAGAAGCAGCCAGCGCATAACGAGACTTGCAGGAGCAGGTTTGTATAGACGTCCGTCAGCAGCGACGGCAAACACTTTCATTGCAGTTTTTTGTTCTCCTCAACTACTTTTTGCTGAAAGGGTTTGTCGCAAACCACCATGCTGGCTGCACAGACCATAGAACCATAGAGGTGTCCTTTAATGTGGGATTCTGCCATTGACCGTGCTGACCAGACGTCCGTTTTCTCCCAGCCATTCCAACACAGAGAGCCGGGGTTCTGAAGCACCAGTGAGGCGCAAACAAGGCTCAAGAGCACAGAATCCTGTATAGGCATGAGCCAAGCCAAGCCTCATAGCCCTCAAGTTTGGAACGATTTCGGCCAATAAGGAACGCTTTAAGCCACTAGTCCTGCCCCGTTTTCTGGCAAGAGGTGTCCAACACCTTCCATGCGCGGAAGAGCGCGTTGAGGAAGAGCCCTGGCAGAGCAAAGAGGCGGAATCAAGAAGCCCCTCTGAACCCAAGCAGCCCCGCAGGTTTGTTTGCAGAATAAATGGCGAATTTTAACGCCTCCGGCTCAGGCCGCCGACATTACAGGCCTACTTTCTTACTTGCGTCCCTTTGGAATTGTCCCCTTGCCCCCCTTCCCCTCTAAGATTTTTGCCCCCCTTTCCCTGTTGAGATCCATTCCCCCTTTCCCCCCTAAGGCCCTTTCTCCCTCTGAGATTTTTTCCCTTTTCCTCCCTAAGATGTTTTCCCCCTCTCCCTGTTGAGATCCTTTCCCCCTTTCCCCCCCTGAGATCTTTTCGCTTTTCGATCCTTTCCCCCTTTCCCCCCTAAGGCCTTTTCCCCCCCTGAGATCATCTCCCTTTCCTCCCGAAGATGTTTTCCACCCTTTCCCTGTTGAGATCCTTTCCCCCCTTTCCCCCCTAAGGCCTTTTCCCCCCTGAGATCTTCTCCCTTTTCCTCCCTAAGATCTTTTCCTACCTTTCTTTATTGAGATCCTTTCCCCCGTTTCCCCCCCAAGGCCTTTTCCCCCCAAGATCTTCACCCTTTTCCTCCCTAAAACCTTTTCCCCCCTTTCCCGTTGCCTCCTAGGGCCTTTTCCCCCCGAGACAGATTTCCCTTTTCCTCCCAAAGATCTTTTCCCCCTTTCCCCCCTAAGGCATTTTTTCCCCAGATCTTCTCCCTTTCCTCCCTGAGATCTTTCCCCCCCTTTCCCTGTTGAGATCCTTTCCCCCCTTTCCCCCCTAAGGCCTTTCCCCCGCGCTGAGATCTTCTCCCTTTTCCTCCCTAAGATCCTTTGCCCCCTTTCCCGGTTGAGATCCTTTCCCCTGAGGCCTTTGTCCCCCAAGATCTTTCCCTTCCCCCCCCCCCCCCGGATATTCTTCTGAGTTCCCCCCCAAAAGCATTTTTTTTCCCTTCCGAAGATCTTCATTTCCCTTCACTTTCCTTCACTTCGGTTCATGTCCCTTTATGTCTGTTTTTGTTCCCTTTCCTTTATTTCACTTCATGTTATTCATTTCCATGCATTTTCCTTCATTTCCCGATGTTCCTTCAGCAGCATGGGCAACATCCCCAGCATCACTTGCATCATCCGCATCCTTGGCAGGCGCTGATGCGGATGATGCAGGTGATGCTGGCGTTGCCCAGGAGGTGCTAAGGATGCAAAAGCGGACCCGGGGGAATCGAACACCCGATGTTTTTATGCAACTGTGTTCCGCACAGCCCCCAGACCCCCCCCGCCCGCAATAGTCTGAAACCGTGCGCCTGGGGAGGGGTAAGGGGAGGGGTAACAGGTAAAGAGGTAAGGAGCATTTCTTATGTCCAACGCGCCGCCTTGTTGTCGGCGGATTTTTGGTGCCGGAGTGTCGGGGTTTGCAACAAAACACCAAGACCTAGGATTGTTGGCCTTAACAATTTGCACTGTCGCGAGAGTTCCCCCTATGAAAGCAGCAGCTAGTACAATGAGCAAATCAAGGATGACCAAGCAATGCCTATGTTTCATGCAAGAGATTGCTAGTGTCGGGCAGTTGAGGGTGTCAGTCCTTTGTAACAGCTTCAGTGTGGCTGGAAAACTGCTGAGTATACTTGATTTTGCTCACGGCAACGTTAGGGGCGCGGGAGAACTCTTTGATTTTTCCATGATTTTTTCAATCCTTCACAAACAAACTCCGCTACACAACAACCTGTGCGGGTGGGGGGTGGGGGGTAAGAGCGCTCGTAGCACGCCTGACCTGGAGCTTTATTTGCCGCCAGTGGCAGGTCGCGTTTACCGCCAACAGCTGCGCCGTAAACCCTGAAGCTTGAGCCCCAAACCCTGAACTCTAAACCCCAAAGCCCGCGGGCTTTTCGAAATGGCCCAGGCTATGTGGATAATGCAACCACTTATTGACATTTATCATCGTGTATCATAGTTTATCGTAGTTTAGATAGTTGAGCATTGCTCATCATAGTTTGGTACAGTTTATTATAGTTTATGTTAGATTTTTGTAGCTTTTCGTTTTTTAGTCTTTTTTCTCTTTCTTTTTTCCGTAGTTTATTCGAATTTATCAGAGTTTATTTTCATCACTCATCATAGTGTATTCTGGATTTTTAAACTTCCTGAGATCCTCAAAGCAGCAAACCGAAGCGGTGTATAAAAATTGCAACGGCGGCCCGTGTGCCTAACGTCGCCGTGACCTTGTTTTTGCTCAACGGCGGCGTGCCTGAGTTTCCAGAATGGCTGTTGGCAGTTGTTGTTTGAATTGGTGGGGCGTGATTTTCGGCCTGACATCCAGATGAGTCGAAACTAAGCAAACGCAGCGCACAAGGGGGTTGGGCTCATACATTTTGTTGGATCTATTTTATAATCTTCTGACATCAAGGATCTGCGAGCCTTTCTATTTCTTTCCTACATGTTGCAAGCACGTTGCTCGCAATCTTGCTGCGCCCATCAACCTGGCAATTGGGGGAGATGCAGAGTCTGCAAGGTGTTACCGCTACGACCTGTTGCAGACGGAGGCGACGCCTTTCCAGGCAAGACATGTGACACGTGCACGTCATGCGGATGCTTAGTATGCAAGGATGAAAGGGACGCTGCACCTTTTGGAGAAGTGTGCGATTTGGGGAAACAAACGACTATGATCAAGACTGTCGCTGGTCGTGTGATTTTGTTTGCGCTTGTCGTTGCCAGCGCTGGTTTTGCGATGAGCTTTAAGTGACATCAGCAAAACCGGGCAGGCGTGCTTTAACGCTGCGCCCGCCTCGGCCCAGCCGAGCGCGCAGCGCCTGTGGTTCGACTGTGAGCAGCAGAGCTGGTCAAGTGGCGATTCAGGCATGGACAGGTTCTGGCGTCGTTGGACAAAATGATGTCATGGGCCCGCAGGAATTTTCGAGGCAAGGGCGACCAGGAAGGAGCCAGTCATGGAGCCAGCAGACACGCTGGTTTGTCTGACCTGCCCCTTGCTTGGGTGGGTTGTTGGTTGGGCTGGGCCTGCTTGGGTGGGTTGCTGGTTGGGCGTCTCAAATAACGTGCTGCTGGTTGACGGGCCTGTCTGGGGCTGGCTTGCTAAGATTATTATTTGGTGAGTTTTGTCATTCTCGGCGCATTTGCGACAAAAATAGGTCCATGGAGCTGGACGCCGACGAGCCCCGAAGGCACACTGGACAGGATCTTAGGCCAGCAGACATGGGTGAGGGGGGGGGAAGAGGGTTGGGTGTGCTTTTTTGAAGATATTGCACGGGTTTCAGAGGATGCGTGCAATCATGTCTAACCTAATCCGCACATCAATGACCAAGCGTGCTTTTCCCGGGTTTCGGACGGAATTTCATCCTATTCCGATGAGCCTGCACCGACTCGAGCATCCACCTCCGCGGAACAAATCCTGGATCGCCCAAAAGAAAAAGACGGTGCTAGATGCAGCAACATGTCGACGAGAACAAGACGGCTGTTGAACAGGCCCTTCAGAAAGGGATACGTACTAGGCAACTGCTTCTTAGGCATGAACAACCTGAACCAACCCTAACGCCCCCAAGCCCATCCAAAACCCATTCTGAATTTGGAGCAGCGCGTAGCGGGACTTCCGAGTTTCTCACACGAAATCGGGTTTGTGGATGGAGTTGTGCTATGTGTGCGAGGTGGGAGGTGGCGGGTTTTGCTCAAAATTAACGCTCGTCACGAGCGCCTGTTGCAGATGCTGGAGATGCTTGCTGGTGAGGCTCGTCCCCTTTCTTTCCCTTGCTTTCCCTTGCTTTCCCTTTGCCACAAATCGGGCAGGCGCTTTGAGTTGTAGCCTTGCTGGTTTGTGGTTTTGAAGGTAAGCGATTGGGACAGTTTCCTTGAGTCGGACGCGCTTCCACCGTCGATTCGTCCTCTTTTCTTCGGCATGTTTTTCCGCTCACGTCTTGCCGTTTCGGCCCTGCTTTTCTTTTGTGCTCGTCTCCCTGTTGCATGCATGCAGCTTTTTTCTTTTGGCATATGCACATACAGGGCCCGAGGAAGGAGTAAAGCATTCAGATGGTCCCATGCATGCATGCAAGGAATGAGACCGGGCTGAGAAGGTCAGCAGCAACGGCAACACTTCTTTGTCAGAGGCAATGGCAACATCACATTTTGTTTTGATTTTGCTTCGTATTGATATTTTGTCGGTGATTGTGTGTGTGTCAATTCGCAAGCAACATGAAAGATACTTTCATGCAATCCCAAGTGTTTTTTGCACAGAGCGGGTCGATGATCGAAATCTCAGAACACCTGCGAATCCGTGGCAGTGTTCGCGCGGCCCTTTGCGGATCGTGTACACCCAATGAAACGCCAGCCCTGTCAGTGCACAGACGATTTGCGAAGCCCAACATAACGGCAACCTATTTTGTGGAAGGATAGATGTGGGGCGCAGATTGGGCAGACCTGCGGTTCCAGCCGAAAGGCCCAATTTTGAAGTGCCAAAGTAAAGCGCTGAGTGCGATTCCAAACTAGGCGCACGGCTGCAAGCACGCACATGCGCAACTTTCACGCTAGCGAGCTACGTACTTCCAAGAAGCGAACAAAGGCGCATGTGCGTGTGATGCTTGCGCCCCGCTTTTGTGATGCTCTCTGTCAACCTGTCGTCCAATACCCAATTGAAACAGCGATCCATTCCATCAACCATCCACAACCCTTCCACCCCCAAGCTCCGAAGCCCACGTTGATGCTATTCCTGATTCAACATCACATCCGACGTTGCGACATTGTGTCGCATCCCAAATCCGCCCTACACCAACCGCACCTCCTTGTTATTGCCCACTTTCCCTTTGAGCATTTTACAGTACGAAGCTGATGTATTCTTCTTTGCCTGACACCTAATGAACATGTCTCAGGTTTATATGCTTGGCTCAACTTCTACAAGTGTCAGGCTTTACTTTAGAACCTGTGCCCCTGACACAGGCCCGCTTTGTTTGGTCCGTGGGCGACCTGGATGTGCCTCTCATGGCGCAGGCGGCGCAGTATCTCAGTGAGGCGCCGTGTGGCCGTTTTGTGTACCCGTTTTGTCCCTTGTGGGCATTGACACGGCTGGGGGGGTCCACTTTTCAGAGGGGGGGGGTGCGAAGACACAATTGCGAAGACGAAATTCGGAACGGCAAATAGTCGAAGCCAAAAACGGCGCGAAGCCGAAAATGGGAGCGAAGACACAATTCAAAGCCGAAATTCGCGAAGCCGAAATTGGGGGCGAAGCCGAAAATTCGAAGCCAAAATTTGCGAAGCCGAAAATGGGGGCGAAGCCGAAAATGAGAGCGAAGACGAAATTCGAAGCCGAAATTCGCGAAGCCGAAAATGGGGGCGAAGCCGAAAATGGGAGCGAAGACGAAATTCGAAGCCGAAAATGGGAGCGAGGACGAAACTTGAAGCCGAGAGAAAGATTGCCTAGAGACAAGCCGAGAAGCCGAGAAGCAGCGCCAAGCCGAGAAGCCGAAATAATCGAAAAGCACGGGTGAACGAGAGTGCCGTGTGCGACGAAGAGCAAGGGCTTGAAACGAAAAGAAGAGAGGTCTTGAGCCGAAAGTGCCGTCAGCAGTGAGCAAGGTGTTGAAGCGAAGAAGGCGGAAACGATAAGAGAGGTCTGAAAAAACCAAAGTGCCGTCCGGGGGAGTGAAACAGGAGGCAGACACAGCTTTTCTAGGGTCCAACACGCCACGCATAGTCGGCGGAAGGTAGAATCGCCGACATTTAGACGGTGAAGTTGTTGAAGCATGTTGAAGCGAAGAAGGCGAAAACGGGGCTGCTTCTTTGAAAAGCAAGAGCGGGCATGATTCAAACGCGCGGATGGCAAGTCTCAACGAGGGACCTCGATTCGTGGGCGGCGACAGGAAAATCAAAGCAAACAAATCGTTTATAGAGGGCCGTACTTAGGATTTGTGGGGCTTCTATTTTGGCTGAGCGGAAAGGCGAGAATTGTCGCTGAGCATTCAGAAAGGGAGCTCCACTTGATTAAGATGGCAATTGGAGGGTCAAATGTTTCTCACTGTGACGTTGTCGCCCACAAGCAGGGTAGGCCACCGAAGAGTAGGATTTGCGGGATTGGGATGAGCCGAAACAGGGGGCCCTTGCGGCCTGGGGTGTGTCTTGCCTGCCGCTGTTTAGCCGGCTCGTCCGCCGAGGAAAACTCTGTGCGTTTTCTCAAACGTTGGAAAGAGGACAGTGAGTTGCAGGGCGCTTAGAAGGACAAGCAGTGTTGCGTGAGCCTCTCTAACCTGAGAGGAGTCCAATTCTTCGAGTAGAGAAACCCATCTGTTTCAGATTCCTGTGTCCTTCTGGTGCCGCTGGCCATGCCCTGGAGCGCTCTCTCCGGAAGGTCAATGCTTGTCTGGGAAACCAACATGCAGGGCAAGAAATTGCGCTGATAGAAGTGAGTGCACGGATTGGTCAGAAAGTTGTGACGTCACTCCGCCTAAGCACCAGGTCGAACGCTAGGCGTGGCATTGACTTTTGGGCTTTTTGCAAGACTTGGAAGTTCGTTATGGCATCTAAGACGTAGCCTGGTGGGGAGAGTTTAGCTGTATATGAGTTTCCTGCGGGAAATACAAGTCGAGGAGTGACCTTTGGTGGGGCGGACGTAGGCGTTCGACAGCCGTGCTAAGCATGCTGCTTCTGGCTGAAAGGACTGACGGAAAAGCAGTAGGCTGAGTTTTCGTCCTGTCCCCTTGTCATTTTGCGCCCGTGGTGTTTCATGTTTGGTTTCAGCGCCCTTTTGCCGTTTAGGGCCCCCCCCGTCCGCTTGAGGTAGAGGTGTTGAAGATCAGGGCGGGGGTTCCATGAGAGAAGTCCTAGAAAGGTTTTGCTTGAAGTAAGTGGCAGGAGTCCCCGTCAGGGTCGGTATTTCAGCTAAAGGGCGTTGTCTGAAATGGTAAGCACACTCGCTCAAGCGCGCTGGCTCAGCACTGTGCCCATGCTTACCACATGGTAAACGCACCGGCTCAAGCGCACCCGCTCAGCACTGTGCCCACGCTCAAGCGCACCCGCTCAGCGCTGTTTCCGTCCTTGGATGTTTGGCCAAGTCTTGTTTTTGAGCAACCTCCCTCTGGCTTTCCTTTGAAGGGGGCCAGGGTTAAGTTATCTTTTTGTATAGTTTGGAGCTGGGCCAAGTTGAGCGGAACCAAGGTTGGTTGCACCAACAAGTCTCGCTCTCTAAGTTCCTTGTTCGTGCTCTTTGGGAAGACCGTTTTAGTGGCAAACAGTTTCCGTTGGATGTTTTTGGTCAACTCAAGAAGCGAGAAGATGTGAAATGTGAGAAGTTTACAAGTTTGTTTCGATCGCCCAACTGAGCGCTATATGTTGCGCGACGGATGGTTTGCAGATTGATGCATCTGGGCTGGGCATTCTTGTGCGAGTTTTGTTTGGGGGTCTGCGAGTTGTTTTGGGGCTTGGGCGCAAGCGTTGCTTTAGCGTCGGTGGATCACATGGTCATGCTGGTGCGTCTTGGCTCAAGGCATAGCTTTAGGTGGCGCTCATACGTTTCCTCAGAGTCGCCTGCCGCACCACCATGGCAGCGTCCGCGGCTCCCAGAGGGACCGCGCCTGCATCAATTTGAGACTTTGCAGGCATGTAATTATCACGGCCACGAAGGCCTCATGAATCGGCTGAGCGCACCGCGTCGGTCAAGAGATGACACGCTAACGCTAGCGACGGCGCAAGGCGGTTGTGGCCAGAAGCCCACAGGAGCTCCCGGAGGGACTCCACGCTTAGGTCAAGCGCAGTGCAACAGTGGTCTCAAGAAGCGAGAAGATGTGACGATCGCCCAACTGAGCGTATATGTTGCGCGACGGATGGTTTGCAGATTCATGCATCTGGGCATTCTTGTGCGAGTTTTTTTGGGGGGTCTGCAAGTTTTTTTGGGGCTTGGGCGCAAGCGTTGCTTTAGCGTCGGTGGATCACATGGTCATGCTGGTGCGTCTTGGCTCAAGGCGTAGCTTTAGGTGGCACTCATACGTTTCCTCAAAGTCGCCTGCCGCACCACCATGGCAGTATCTGCGGGCCGCACCCAGTACGCTCTCAGGCACGACTGCATCAGATTGAGACTTTGCAGGCATGTAATTATCACGAGCATGAAGGCATCATGAATCGGCGCAAGGCGGTTGTGGCCAGAAGCCCACCGGAGCTGTGAGAGGGACTCCATGCCTAGGGCAAGCGCAGCGCAACAGTGTTCAAGCACGGGTGTCTTTGCTGAGGACGCAACGTTACTTAGCCACGCCGCCCAGGAGCAGTTGCAAGACATGGTTCAATTGCGCGTGGCCTAGGCGCCGCGTTGCATGCCAGCTGCGGGTTCTGGAGCTTCACTTGCAGAAGGGAACTCAGGTAGGAGGCGCGTCGCCTTTTTCTGTGGCACAAGCTTCCACGCAATCTCTGCGGAGTCAATGAAGAATTTAGTGTACTCACCTTGCGCGCATGCTGGCGGCACTCTCAACGTCCAGGTGGAGGGCATGGCCGACTGTCACTTCGTGCCTTGTGTGGCAAGACACGAGTATCAGCAGCTGTTGCCTGGGAATGGCCGCAGCCGCTTCCAAGATATGGTGGCAGTTTCATTTTTGGATGCTTGCCAGGGAGACACGTTGAAGCATGTCTTGCACCTTGTAGTGCTGCACGCGAGCGTTCGGCCACAATTTTGCATGTGTTTGCGGCAAAGGGACACTTGGCACATTCAACTGTTCGCCATCGCTGGAGAAGCAGTTAACTAGTTTCTTGCGGGTGTCTTGCCAGAAAGCGTAACAAACGGATGCCACCGGTTGACGCGGTTTTGTTCCGGCCTCTAGTAGCAAACTCATGGCATGATGTTGACTGCCACTTTGAGGGGTTTTGACGGCTTGCGAGGACATTGCTTTCATTGCTTGCTGCCCTCGTTTGCGTCTGTCGCAGATCTGCCCCGATGCCTAGGCGTCCTGCATCCTGGAGGCGTGGAGGCGGTGCGACAACTGCCTTTGCAGTTGCGTTGCTGACTGTTTTTTAAAACATACTTCAGACAGGCAGCTTGTACACATAGGTACCAATGCTTCCTCTTCCTCAGCTCCAGACAGGCAGAGGTCCGGCCTTCTTGAGCAAGTTAGTTTTTAGGGGCTTGGGCACAAGCGTTGCTTCAGCGTCGGTGGATCACATGGTCATGCTGGTGCGTCTTGGCTCAAGGAGTAGCTTTACGTGGCACTCACATGTTTCCTCCAAGCCACCTGCCGCCCTGCCATGTAGTATCCGCGGCTCCCAGAGGGACCGCGCCCAGAAAGGCATCGCTCCCAGGCATGGCCATTCCCTTAGTCAGGATGCGAGAGCGCCGCGGACACAAGCATAAGCTTTTGCCGCCTGCTGCAGAAGCACGAAGAGTTGGGAGCTGTCGCACCGGCAGGAGCGCCCTCGTGCGCAGGCTTCTTGCGGGGCGAACGCTCAGTGTGTGGCAATCTCTTCGGAAGCCCAGCAGCAGATATGCCTCTGCGAGGCGCGCAGCTACGTCCTGCCGCAGGCCTGACAGCGACTCCTGACAAAGAGCATGTGCTGATTGTGGAAGTCGAGAGCAGTGGAATGGCAACCGTGGCGCCTATCATCACAAAGAACAAGTGCGTGCGCCGCGATGCTACGCACATGCTTAACAGTGGCACGCGGCAGTGTCCCGTGGCTGAGTTGCAGGATGTGTCCTTGGGCTATCGTGTCGTAGGCATCCGCAGGCAGACAGTTTACTTGCAGACCTGGACGAAGACAGTCTGCGAAAAGAAGAACTGGGCAGCCCTGCTGCCTTCCGAGTAGATGCTTGGGCTGAGTTGGAGACAGCCGCAGGGGACACACTTCGCAGACAGTAACGGGCATGACTGGACTGGGCGCACAAAGCCAGCTGCGACGCAGCTTGAGGCTCGCGTGGTTTTGGCTAAGGGCGCGCAAGAGCACCTTCAAGTGTGCCCGCGACACGTTCTGACTGCCCGAGCCAAGCGCGGTCGCCCAGCTTTTCTTTTGGACGTGCTGTGGCCGCAGCTTGACCTGCGAGC